ATTGAAAATGAAAATAATTTACTATTGAATATAAAAAGCAATCATTTGTTGCCTCTTTGGACCAATTGGTGACGTTTAGGGAAGAGTTAAAAAGTGTATGAATATGTGTAAAATATAATGATTTGTTTGTACGGTATGTATGGGTATTGTGTGTGGGATTCGTGCCAATAGTTATATACAATTCAATACCAGAATATAATGAAGTGAATCGCATAGAGAATCGTGTGATGACTAGAGCCGAGATTCTTCGGGAATTCTCGAATAAAATTAGTTAATAAAATGCTTGGAAATAACATCCAGTTAGTCTTTGGGGTTATAATAGAGTAAAAATAAACCACTTTTATTTTCCCAAATATTCCCGATTTTGATATATTTTAGAAAAAATCGGAAATTGTATGCAAAATAGGTTGAAACTCACTCTTTTCAATTCAAGATTATAAAAATCCACAACATTTTGAGATAAGATGTTTAATCAAATATGCACTAAGTAAGTTTGACAATGTTGAACGTTTCTCTCTCAATTTAAGAATATTCAATACAAATAGAAGATAGACTTAAAGAATAAAGCTTCATTTCCTATGTTATTTTCCATACTATAATTCATTTTAAAAAGCTTTAAATATATCATTATTGTGTTTGAACTGAATAAACGTTAATTCCCGAATATACCCAAATTTGACTGTTTTACTCCCGATTCCCGACCGAATTTGGTTGTTTTTATTCCCGAATAATCTCTGCTCTACTTATGACTTAAGTTGTAATCCTATAGAACCCCATTGAAAATTTTAAGCATTACCCACAGGATAACATTAGCCTTATGTTAATCCTATGTCATAGACTTAATATTATCCCATGTTAAGGTATAGACATAGACTTAAGCTGTAATTCCATTTTAAATCCCATAGAGCGGGGGAGGTGTAGCCGAACGATCCTATAAACTACATTATTCTATGCAGAATTGTGGTTAAAGATGTCAAATTTTATGTTATTATTAAATATAATTCATTTCTAAACAATTTAAATGTATAGTTATTGTGTCTCTTATTGAATAAACATTATTTCCCGAATTTTACTGTTTTACATCCTGTTGTCGACAGAATTTTAATGTTTTTATTCCCGAATAATCTCTGCTCTAGCAATGCCTGACTCTTATAATACACATATACACAGTGTTTGTGACTATATTTGAATTGAAGGTTAAGGTTATGTGTGAGAGATTGGGTGCGCAGTAAATGTTTTTATTCCCGAATAATCTCTGCTCTAGCAATGCCTGACTCTTATAATACACATATACACAGTGTTTGTGACTATATTTGAATTGAAGGTTAAGGTTATGTGTGAGAGATTGGGTGCGCAGTGAATAGCAGTACTCATAGCTTACAAAATGCATATAAATATTGAATTTAACTCTCAATTCACTGTTTTATTACTATTATTCGTGATTACGGTTTAAAAGCAAAGTTACGTAAAGATTAAGTCATGTAAACGTCAACTCATTAATGCATTCATTGAGACACTCATACGCTTTGTGTTTGTCTTCCAGTGATTGAAGTTTTATTGAATTAGTTTTTTCGATATTTATTGTTATAATTAGAAGTGAATAGATTTGGAGTAAATCTAAAGAATTGGTGTAAAATATTAGTTTCAATGAAAAGAGTTGCGATGCCTTACAGGAGAACGACTGCCATCAGGTATTCAGACCCCGGAATCATCGACGAGAAGGTGTTTCAGTTGCAGAGGATTTTGGCCACAACTCAGACGAGTCACAGCAGATTTGGACCCGGATTCTCGTTGTTGGGCAACAATTACGGCTCCGCAGCCATACCCTCCGCCACACTCTGCCCCACACACAGAATCCATTTGGGCATTGATTGCGATGAAGTCTTTCCCAACGTATTCATCGGCGATGAGTGAGTCCAACGGCTATACTCTATAGGCCTTACATTTTCAGTAAACCCTTATTTCTTAATATAAAATAATCACTTTTTGTGACAATCGTTTTGACTAATGTATGCCTCAAATAATATTCCAATATTTGTTGTGCCAAAGAAGCAGACAGTCATCCAAAGTAAACATTCAGTCAATCATATGATTCAGACATTTTAAAATATTACCAATTCTTAGCATTAATTTGCAGTTTTAGTAATTGATATTCAATATAACCATTAATATTAAAGTTACATAATTGAACGATAACAACATACATGTATATTTTACACATTCCTACACATTGTGCAAAATATTATACAGAATATGTGAATATTTATAATAGGATATACATGTATCATGTTGTTCCCTAATGCTGACAATAATTGTAGAATGTTCTGTTCATAGGGTAACCAGATGTTCTTTGCAGTTGAGAACAATCTTTCATTTGACCATTTTTGGTGAACTCTTCTGCAGATCCTGTGAAGTACTATATAATATTCCCATTTGGAGAATTTGCAGAAGTAACTATTCTGTAATATTCTTTTAATGAGTTATATTCCAAATAAATATCATTCTAATTCTTAAATTACATAATATTTCCAGTAAATTTTCATTATACAGTATCTTTTAATGTGTATTTTGCTCCTAGTTTATAGTTTTAGAATATTCCAAAAAATTAGCCTTGATTTTTAGAACCATCAAAAATTAGAATGTAATCAATTCAGCAATCTCAATAAATTTAAAGCAAAAAATATATTTAAAAAGTGATTTCCATTAATTTTGCGATGGCCATTTGCATTTCTGCGTTCATATTTAGCATTTTACAAAAATATTTCTGGTCACTCTATCCGTACATTATATTTTATGAATATTGTTTGTGTCGTAGATTTGTAATCATTTCAAACTAAAATTAATTGCGAATTAATTGAATTATATGTATTTGAAAATTGAATTTTTAACCAAATCAGACGAAGCGTCCGAAATAAGCCGTTCCTCAAAATGATTGGTATAACACATGTCGTGAATTGCGCGGAAGGAAGCGGTTTCACAATGGTTTCGACGGGTAGTGGCTATTATGCGGACGTCGGTATCAAATACATCGGCATTAATGTGCTGGACGTGCCTCAGGCCAGGATCTCAGCCCACTTTCACGAGTGCGCAAACTTTATGGACAAAGCGATCCGAGAGGGAGGGAAAGTGATTGTCCACTGCTATATGGGTTTGAGTCGGTCCGCGACCATCACTATTGCATATCTCATGATTAAGAAACAGATGAGCGCCGAAGAGGCCGTCAGGACTGTCCGCAGGAATCGGGAAATACGACCGAACGACGGCTTTTTGCGCCAATTGTTAGCATTGGAGTCAAAGTTATCCAAAGAGTGACACAAATTGATGGCATATTTTTTGGAGGAATATATGTTTGGCGAAGCAAATAAAATAATATATGCATAAACTTTAAAGTTAACCATTTTCTCAGATTTCAATATATATATATATACGACTATTAATAACTGCGATAATACAATTGTAATAACAAACAAACGGACAAACGGTTTCTTTTTACAAAATATATAATTTTTATCCATTTTTGAAATTAGTTTTAACAACAAAACAAAAAAAAAAGAGAATTATATTATAATAACAGTCATTAATATCTAAATTTAAAGTCATTATTATTTATACAATAGTTGGTTAATGTTTATAATAAAATCAATTAATGCTTTTTACATAAAAAATGCATAAAACAAACAGTAATTTATGTTTTTAAAAGAAAAAATTATACGAAACACAAGAAAACAAATAAAAAACAATCAAAATATAGTAATCGAAGTCTGAATTTAATAGAAATGTTATGTAATTATCTAATAAGCGGTTGAGAATCACAGTCGCTCTGAGATAATGAAGGAATGCTTTCCAACTCTATGTTCACTGAATTTGAAGACAACATTCCGTTCAAAGGCGAACAATTGGATGAGTTGTTGGATGATGTGGTCTGGCTTTGGCCGACCCCTACCCCTACTTCCGTCTCTTCCTTCTGTTCATCACTTTTAATGTTATTATTGTTTTGATTTTGAGTTTCGTTAATATTTGTAGGACTGGATGCCGGCGTGGAGTCACCCGAAAGGGGTATAATCACAGCCGTTGTACTCGAATTACTGCTCGAATTCGGGTCGTTGTCTCTGTCGACAAACTCAAGCGGCGGTGGAGTCGGAGGTCGGCGTCGGTTCCGTCGAAGGCGTCTTTGGCGCCGGATTTGTCTGATTTGTTCGATATATGAATTATTTCTGTCGGTCGGATAGCCTCCGACTGCCGTCGCATAACTCGGCGGCGGTTCCCGGAAGAAGAATCCGTGTTCGAGACGGAACAGAGGGGTATCCGAATCACCCGTAAAACCATTGATACTATAACTTCGGTCGTAATTATGAGATATATGTGATGGAGAGGTATGAGTACTTGAGTGGTGTCTCTCCACTTGTCTCAGAGCTATGAGTTTACACGTGCAGGAGATGGCGATCACCAACAATAGGCCACAGATTAGCGAACCCATGATTGCAGCCGTTATTACACTGTTCTTCAGGCAATTGATTTCATCGGTTCCATCAGAACAGTCATTAGATCTGTCGCATGTCCTGTATGTACAAAATATGATCATCATTATAACATTGTATGACCATGCTCAATCTCCATCACTACAAATAATTAGTTATGAATAATTATAAATAAGTGGAATAATAGTATCACTAATTCATAACAAACTTCCGAAAATTAATATCGTAAACAATGTGTCTGTATTTTGTCTGAATGTCTGTGAAATGTATTTTTAGTTCATTGTTAATAAACAAATAATAATCCAATTGGGAGAAGAATATCATAACAAATGTTTTGTCTAAATAATGCATGTGTTATATAATGTAAACTAAATCCTCAAATATTAAAATATCGTATGTCTTGAATGAAAATGAATCCGTATTACAGACATTGATATCAAGTGAAGCAAAACATTCAAAATAAAGTGTCGTTACAATATATCACAGCTAATAACAAACAACTCAATCAATTGTCAATTAAAAGTTCGTTGAATTGTTGGCCTAAATGTCGAAGACTTTCATTTAGTTTTTAATATTTTCAAATACTTTAAACAAAAACTGGTTCACAACCAGTCATATAATGGGAGGCAATACTAAACTATCGTATATTTATCAAATCGTATACTCTATAAACTGTTTGATTCAATTAACCATTACTTCTGAGAATTAAACGCTTTTAGCCGTAAAATGATAAACATTTCGGAGGCGTTTCAATGAGTGAACGCATTGTAATGCCAACACTAAACAGCATTTCTGTTAATTGTTTGTTTGCATTCATTTTTATCAAAAAATCTATTTCTGTCTCCAAATAACTATTTCTATATTTAAAGCAATTCCAAGAAAACTACGAATAACTTGGTTTACATGTTCAATGTCTCCCTCCCATCCCTTGACCTAACGGTAACCTTTAAACTCTGATACCCTATCATTGAGTAAACTTATAAAAATATATAATTTATAAATTGCCAAAACAAATGATTACATAATAAATATAAAACAATAAATGTGTGAAATGACTGACCAAATGGCGCGAATACAACGTCCGTTACCGCATAGAAAGCTTCCTCTATCGGCGCGACACAAATCGAGGGAACAGTTCTTCTCATCGGAATAGTCGCTACACTCGGGAACTCCATTACATCGCTCTTCACTCGAATAACAGCCCGAACCCGAAGAGCAGAGGATCTTATTCTGACAGACTTTGAAGCAACCGATTTCGTCCTCACCGTTGGGACAGTCGAGCACACGATTGCAGCGTTGGTTGAATGGGTCGTAACATTGAGACAAATTGTTTGGTCCGCACAGAGACCTGTTATGAGTACAGAAACCGCAGTTCAACTCATCGGTAAAGTCGGGACAATCGATGATTCCATCGCATCGTTTGCTTTCACTATAACACGACTGAATGGTTCGGCAAACAAACATATCGGGCGGACAACCGCCGCATCCCTTCTCGTCGGCGCCGTTCTCGCACTCCCAGACAGAGTTGCATCGCTGTGTCGGAAACGTATAGCACCCGACAGAGCCTCGACGGTGACCACTGCTTGTCTCGCATCGCATCTGATTGGCGGTCAAACAGATGTCCTCGCAGTTGAGTTCGTCGGAACCGTCTCCGCACTCATCTCTTCGATTGCATTTCCATTTGTTTGGAATACACTTTTGGTTCCGACAGTGAAATTCATCGGATTTACATTTGGCTGACTTCTGGGCACCCGTTATGTACGACAAGTGGAAGCCTCGGCCGCCGCCCACTCTCTGAGTCATATGAAACTTAATGGATAGACGGCTCGACGTCGAGATGAATGGCTTGAAAATAAGGCCATTGTCTTCGCTTCGCCCGCAATACTTGCGTTCGGCGTCCAATTCGGAGAAGATCTTAATCCATGAATAATAACAACAGATCTCATCGCTATTTGTCAATGATTTCGGGCTTAAGTTTTGTGAACAATATTTGTCTGAATCGCTGGGAATTTCAAGATCTAAATCATCGAAACTGTTGTCCAAAGAATAACATGAGACCAAACAATCAAATGCTGCCAAATGTAGAGATAATACCTAATTGTGATGATATGGTTGGGATGAGAGGCTTTGATATCCCACTGACAAGAGGTCCGATTGTGAAAAGGGTTGGGATAATTGGGACTTTGAATGGATCCGCGAATGGCTGACAACTCTTCAACTCTATCGCAATTTTGTACGTGTTTTTCGGTAATCGATGGTAATGTACGGCCAGTTATAGTGGGAATGCCGGCCATAGAGTGGCCAGAATTGGTGCCGATGTTGGACAGCAACACATCCAACACTTGAAACGTCTTTTGGCTCTCATTTCTGGCAGTATTTGTCGATTGAATTTCATTCACAATAAACAGCAAAAGGACTGCAAAAACAATTGTTAAACAAAACGCAAGCATTGAATGCCATATAAATACCTGTTAATTGAGAAATAGTTTTCAATACATGATTGCAATTAAGGCTTGTATTCATAAACAATGAAAACAATGATTTATCCATTCATTTGTCACTTAATAAATGTGTTTACGATTTATATATGTATTTAATATCAAAACAATTTCAATATATTTATCGATTAGAAAAAAGTGATGAAAACTAATGTATGGATGAAATGGTTGTGAAATGAGTGCGAAAGTGATGTTCAGATGTGTTTGAAAGACATTGAAAGCAATAATAGTTTGTTTTGTTTCATTCAATCCTCAAATCATATCAAATCAAATTGCAATCAAAATCGACGACATATTTGTTGACTATATTTTCAGCTGATTTTTAAAGCACTCATTCATTCACTCAGTAATGACGTCCACAACACTCAGCCCTCTCTCTCCCCCTTTGCCTCCCCTTCCCATCCCTTGGCCTCAAGTGAACACATTTTGTATGTGTTTTGCAAAACAATCGCTATATTAGTGGTGAAACAAATGCCCACAAAATGCTAATCAAACGCTTATTAACGTTGAGATCATTGCAATTGTGTCTGAATTACAGCCAAAAGCGATCAGTCGTTGTGTTGAGACGTAAAGTGCGGCCACAATATGGACAACGGCTCAAGAATGACCTGATAGTGGGTCCGCTCTTCAACGACCTCCTCAGTCAACGCGAACCGCGAAATCCCGAAGACTTCATCTTTGATGAGTTGGAGAACACGAATACACCGAAAGCGGGAACAATGAAAGTGATTCTTCTGCAGCACGTGGAAGACCTGGGAGTTCCCGGCGATGTCGTCGAGGCGTACATACCTTACGCTCGCTTTCAACTCATTTCGGCCAAAAAAGCCGACTATTATTGCGAATACAATCTCAAGAAATACAAAGACCTGATAGAGTCGGGCGCGAAGGACAGAGTGGGCCCGTCGTCGGCCTTCGTGTTGTCCACTGTTCGCCAATTGGCTAAAGAAGTGATTTTGGTTGATGTGAACGATCGCGAGGAATGGCAGCTCCAGAAGTGGCACATTAAGGTCGCCCTCAGGAAAGCCGGTTATGTGGTGCCCGAAGAGGCCATACGAATGCCCGCCACGACTATCACTGGACCCGATGTCAGCGGCAAAGAGGGTAAAGATTTTGCGGTTGAGCTAACAATCAATAAGCAGGAGAAGGTGTGGGTGCGGTGTGTGGTTCACCATATGGGACAACCGCTCACCAAAAACTGGTTCAGAGCCCCGAGATTTGTCTTATTACCCGACGAACAGTCAGAACTGTTGTCTTCGATGCCAGTCCTCGAGAGGCTCGAAGAGGACATTGAAATGGACGAAGAATTTGTTTCTTAAATTATAGTCAACAGTAGTTATTGTACTAATTATCACAAATCATAGGTTTATATAAAATTTGAATTTATTATCAATAAATCCATTCATTCATTAAATTTAATAAACTATTTGTTAAATATATTTCATAATTACTGATAAATTCATCGCAAAATTTACACAAAAAAATTATTTCAAAATTAGTAAAATGTTTTGTAATATTTTTAAATAGTAATGAAAATGTGTGTATTGTTTTGTCCGCTGACACAGACTTCTTGCGCTTCCAATACATTGGAATCGATAATTACAATCTCTGATGTGTTTTGCATATTGTTTTTGCCAACAATTAATGCATTTATAGTTCTATTGTCTTCTAAAACATTCTGTGTCTCGTTTTGAGTGATTTCATCACAAGATTCTGTTTGTTTGTTAACTGAATTGACTTTAGGTTTTCTTCGCTTCTTATTGGGTGTCTTCCGAGCACTGCTTTGTTGTGAACTGGAGTCAGGATTGGGAACAACTTTGGTGACGTCTTCGTGCTTATGATATATGGAAGAAATCATTTGATCGATCTGTTCGATGGTATAGATGTCGTTGTGGTTCTGTTCCATGTGTTGGCGGAGTTCTGTGAAGACATTAGTGGCGAACTGACAGTGCGGACACTTATACAGATATAAGCCCTTATGCTTTCGGGTGTTGAGTACGTGTTTGCGAAGGTTTTCGTGATTATTGCACTGATAGGCACAATAGGGACACTTGAATGGTTTGGAACCGGTGTGTATACGAAGATGTCGGGTCAGGTTTGACGACAGACTCGACGCGTAATCGCATTCAGTGCACAGAAAGGGCTTCTCTTTGGTGTGCTTTCGGTAATGCTTTCTGAAAGTCCACTTGGATTTCGCCGTATAATCGCATTGATCGCAAACCCATGGCTTGTCGTCGCTGTGGACCTTCTGGTGCTCTAACATCTGGTGCTGATACAGACAACTATACCGACAGCCGTCGAAATCGCATTTAAACTTTCTCTCAGTTTTGGGCAAATGTTTGCGAATTGTGTGCGATTTGAGTGACTCCTTGTCGAAGAAGCCGTCGCCACAGACGTCGCAGAAATGGCTTTTCTTGCGATCCGTTTCGTGAATCAAATAGTGTTTTTGTAAACCCTTTCTCGACTTAAAAGTGGCGCAACAGGTCTCACATATTATCAACAAATCCGACCTCAGGTTATGTTTCAACAGATGTACGCCTAATAGCGATGATGTGGTAAACTCTTGGAGACATTCATTGCATTTAAACGGCTTTTCAGACGTATGGATGTAAACGTGTTTCCGAAGCAACGCTTTAGTGAACGATTGGTCACAAGTCGGACACTTGAGTCTTAGGCTTTGACCAGCATTTGATGGCTTACTAGTGTCCGCGTTGTGATTGATTGAGTGAAGTATCATAAGTGCCTCCGAATGTGTCCGGAAACGGCATTTCCCGCATTTGATACGTCCCTCCAGAGGAATGTCCGACTCGACTAACTCAGGAAATGGCATCAATGGATCCGTTTGGTGATGAGCAAAGCTTACGATATGTGTTTTTAATTGTTCTTTCGTATCAAACGTTTGGTCACAGATATTACAGACAATGCCTTGAGTTTGACGCGAATCCAAGTGATTGTCATTATTATGACTCAATCGATGGCAGTCTTTGGCATACAATTGTTGGCCAAACTTCTGCTTCCGTAACCGTTTTGGTGACAAATCACTGTCCGAGTGGTCATCTCTGGACACCTTTCTGACCGTCTTTTGGTGATATCGTTGGCGAATACTGACTGTCAGTTTGTGGTCAACAGATCCGTCATTCGTCACATCTTCGGCGTCCACTTCGACACCACTCTTATTGTCATCGTTTCGTTTCTTTGCATTCAATGAGCGCTTGTTTTGCGAAACTTTTCTCATGTTTTTCACTTAAATTAAACACATTTTAAACACAATTTAAATGCAATTCATTTGTATTTCAACACAAAAAATGTTGAAAACTTGTAATGAAAACAATGGATGAAAACCAATGAAAAGTGTCTATTATTTCCTCTACTTTAAGCGCTTCATTCAAACACGTCTATAATTGAAATTATTATTTGACCACAACTTCTACACCACTATAAACTATAAACTACTTGTAATCCTTGTAAACGTTTCTTCCTATTAATACATTTGCCATTTATTGATCAAATATTTAATCATATAAATTGATATATGTATTGATTTAACGGTTAAAGTCACCATTTGTTACCACTCTATGGATCAGAGAAAGCCCTTCAAATAACGTATAATTTTTTGTTGAAAACTTGGTTGAATTCTAATTCATAGTAACTTTTTTACAAACTTTTGACGAATATTTATGAAATAATTAAATAATTGTTAAGAATTTTCAAAATTAATGTTTATTATGTTGAAAAATAATTAATTGACAATAATATTATTTGTGCAGTGATTACAGGAGTTAATGAACTATACAATAGACTATTTAGTGATTCAATTCATATAAATAGAGGTTTTGAAGCACTCGATAGGGACTT